GTTTCAACACATTACATAAAATCCGTGATCTGGTTCCGTCTGTAAAAGATGTGATTCCGGACATACAATACCCTGGTGTCTACAAACTAAGTTGCCTCTGTGGTAGTAGTTACATTGGAGAAACCAAACGCCATGTCTCGGACCGCATTCGTGAACACAAAGCAGACCTTAAACACGGTAGGACCAACACCTCGGCCGTAGCAGATCATTGTTCTAATTCAGTAGGCTCACATGCCATTGACTTTTCCAAGACAGAGGTTCTTTGTAAGCCATCTGGCTTCCATGAGAGATTCGTTCATGAGGCTATCCACATATACAAGCACAGAGACAATTTCAACCGAGAAGGTGGATTCTATCTTAGCAATCATTGGAAAGATTTGATAAACCATTTCAGTTCTTAATTGATTGTTCACGCTTACATTGGCTTTCATACAGCATACATTTTAAAATTTCGTCTCCCCCCTCCTCTTTTCAAAATATAGATGGACTAGTCCTGGGTAAACTGCCAAATCGCTGCGCGTGACGCTAACGTCTTTTTTATTATTATAAATAAATAAATATATGCGCCGTTTAAAAATAAATTTATGCAAACCGACACACCTGAAGATGACCGTTTGAGTTATGGTCGAAACGTCGTGAGAATTTTTTATTGTTTTATATATATTTTATTATTTTGTTGTTTCTCTTCAACGTGACTTTACCGAAAAAACTAAGAATATGAATTACTGCAGTCACGAAAGCTTTAAATCAAAATTTAGAGTCCATCTATGTTCGGAAAAGAGGAGGGGGGAGACGAAAAAATAATGTATGCTGTCTGAAAGCCACCGTAAGCGTGAACAATCAATTAAGACCCGAAATGGTTTATCAAATCCTTCCAATGATTGCTAAGCCAGAATCCATCTTCCCGGTTGAAATTGTCTCTGTGTTTGTATATGTGGATAGCCTCATGAACGAATCTCTCATGGTAGCCAGATGGCTTGCAAAGAACCTCTGTCTTGGAGAAGTCAATGTCATGTGAGCTTACTGAATTATAACAGTGATCTGCCACGGCCGAGGTGTTGGTCCTACCGTGTTTTAAGTCTGCTTTGTGTTCACGAATGCGGTCTGAGACATGTCATTTGGTTTCTCAAATGTAACTACTACCACAGAGGCAACTTAGTTTGTAGACACCAGAGTACTGTATGTCCGGAATCACATATTTTACAGACGGAACCAGATCACGGATTTTATGTAATGTGTTGAAACGGACCTGGATCTTGTGTTTATTCAAGATTTTGGAGATCTTTTTTGTGATCCCAGCAATGTAGGGTAAAGTGATGGTTTTGAAAGGCTCCTCAAGAGGGTTCTTCTTCATGGTTTGAGTGATAGCTTTGCGGATTGTATAGTCGGAGTAACCATTAGCCCTAAGAGCTTGGTGTACGTGCTTGAGTTCACTGCTTATGTGTTCCTGGTCGGATATGCATTGGGCTCTATGATACAGAGTCTTGATGAGAGAATTCTTCTGTGATGGATGGTGGTGGGAATCCGGTTTCAGATAAGCATCTGTATGGGTAGCTTTCCTGTAGACCGAGTGGCTCATTGAACCATCAGGTCTCTTTTTTATTAGGACATCCAAAAAAGGTAGCTTGCCATCTTTTTCGACTTCCATGGTAAATCTGATGGCTGGGTGTATGGAATTGATGTGGTCGAAGAATTGGTCTAGAGCAAGCCGGCCATGTGGCCAGATGACAAAAGTGTCATCCACGTACCTCTTCCATAAGGTTGGGCGCAGAGTGGCAGTCTGGATGGCGTCAGTCTTAAATTTCTACATGAAAATGTTGGCTATAACCGGAGATAGGGGAGAGCCCATTGGGGTGCCCTCAGTTTGTTTGTAGACCTGATGGTTCAATGAGCCACTCGGTCTACAGGAAATCTATCCATACGGATGCTTATCTGAAACCGGATTCCCACCACCATCCATCACAGAATAATTCTCTCATCAAGACTCTGCACCATAGAGCCCAATGCATATCCGACCAGGAACACAAGGGCAGTGAACTCAAGCACGTACACCAAGCTCTTAAGGCTAATGTTACTCCGACTATACAATCCGCAAAGCTATCACTCAAACCATGAAGAAGGACCCTCTTGAGAAGCCTTTCAAAACCACCACTTTACCCTACATTGCGGGGATCACAAAAAAGATCTCCAAAATCTTGAATAAACACAAGATGCAGGTCCGTTTCAACACATTACATAAAATCCGTGATCTGGTTCCGTCTGTAAAAGATGTGATTCCGGACATACAGTACCCTGGCGTCTACAAACTAAGTTGCCTCTGTGGTAGTAGTTACATTGGAGAATCCAAACGACATGTCTCGGACCACATTCGTGAACACAAAGCAGACCTAAAACACGGTAGGACCAACACCTCGGCCGTGGCAGATCACTGTTATAATTCAGTAGGCTCACATGACATTGACTTCTCCAAGACAGAGGTTCTTTGCAAGCCATCTGGCTACCATGAGAGATTCGTTCATGAGGCTATCCACATATACAAACACAGATACAATTTCAACCGGGAAGATGGATTCTGGCTTAGCAATCATTGGAAGGATTTGATAAACCATTCCGGGTCTTAATTGATTGTTCACGCTTACGGTGGCTTTCAGACAGCATACATTAATTTTTCGTCTCCCCCCTCCTCTTTTCCGAACATAGATGGACTCGTCCATCTAAACAAACTGTCAAATCGCTCTCCGTGGCGCTAACGATAAAAAATAAATAAATACAAACCGCCACTTCTTTCAAATGTTCATTGCCGTTGGTTTTCACACCTGATGATGACTGCTTGTGTTGCAGTCGAAACGTCGTGAGAATTTTATTGTTTTATATATATTTCATTAATTTATTGTTTCCCTTCAACGTGACTTTACCGAAAGAACCAAGAATATGAATCACTGCAGTCACGAAAGCTTCAAATCAAAACTAAACTATGTTTATCTTACTAGGTAAAGCACACTGAGCTATTAACTTATTTTTCAGAAGCGACCTGGCCACAAATGATAGCTCAACAAAGTGGCTTATCACGTGGACATTTATAGCAGCAAAATAATCTAAATGCATATGCCAACGTTGGCTCTACAGTTGACATGTGGTTGGACCAACGTTGGCCCAACGTTCCAGGTTCACCGGTGACCAGCTCACTACACGGGCAGCTGAAGCTTCTCACTCTTGGCAGTCGGGGGTCACCGCATTGCAGCTGCGCGTGGGTTTGCTCTCCCAACACACCGGTGTGCTGAACTAGCAACTTATTGGCACGTTTTGATTACGTGACAAACCTTACTGATTGGCTGTGTCGGGTGGTGGTGGGTTGACGACACATTTATATTTACGCGATCTAACCCACACACACACAACCTTTATTAGGAGAGAGGGGACACAAATCCTGCCTGGGTGTCAACACGTAAAGGTGCGTGACGTCATCAAGAATGCTTGACATCGACACGAACATGACGCCGTCGCCACGATACTTGCTGCGTGACGCAACAATCCTGAAGCCGCGCGTGACGTCATTGTCGCAGGTGACGAACGGGGGGGGTTGGGGGAAGGCGTGCGATGACGTCATTCTTTAAATGGCAAAATTTTCCCTGGGAAAAAACCCCCAGCGAAACTTTTTATGGGTGGGGGAATTCTGGAAGGTTAATTTTCGATTTGAAAAAAATTACCCACAACTATATTTTATGTTTGTTGATGTCACTAATTGCCCTTGTGCTTTACAACTTGCACATTTTCAAACCTTTAAACTGTTATTAAGGTGTGGGCGGGCAAATCTTTGTTACTGTCCCCCCCCCCTTTCCCGATCAATAAGAGGCTATAAACGCGGGTGTAGGGACATGCCCACCCACCCATATTTACAGAGTAAAACACTGCTGAATAAACTTGTCTCTCGCTAAGCTCTTACACCATTCGAGTAACGGGTGTAAGCCGGGCGGCGCGTGGGACGCTTTAAATGCGTTAACGCACTTTGTATCCGCTCAGAAACCGCCTCGCCTACAGCACGTTGGGTATCTTTTCTGTAGGCTCCTGCTTTGGGAAGTTGGCCCAATTTATTGGGCCCTTATAGGATAGGAAACCGGAATTACCGAAAATAACCAACTGCTCGCAGGGCTTATAATACAAAACACCTACTTCCTGTACTCATCACGTACGTACGACATTCAAATCAACAAGTACTGTACACAGGAAATGCGTTGGTGGTGCCAGCGCGTGTAGCAAGATAAATGTTTGGTAAGGTTCAGAGTCGAGCACGTGTGCCCATACACTTCTAGCCCGAGTGATCGAGGGCCTTGCACGGTACAATTTACCATTGCCACAAACCATTGTGCCAGTGTGTACTAGATCCACAGCGTTTGACGAATTCGTCTTGATACATAAGTACAACCAGTTTTTATGTTTGCAATATACTAAATTATAACGTGATAAAACTTAATCCCCCCCCCCCCCCACCCCCCACGTACTTATGCGGTTTCAACGTTCTCGATTTAGGTTCATCAGCCACCACTCCCCTCCCCTTGAAACATTGCGAAAACGATATTTTTACGCAGCCGCACGTGTAACACCGCGACACGTGAAATGAGAGTAACGAGCTGTTCGTGTTGTGCGGCCACATCGCCACGTGTTGCACGCTTCACTGAGGTGGCAGCCGGTCTATTAAAATAATTAAAGGCAACCGAACAAGTTGCCTTGCGTCGTACAAACTGCTTAATTGAAACCATTAACGGCGCGCAGCGTGCGTTATTTGAAACGGCGTGTATACGTTTACACGATCAACTGGTCATTTGCAATCGTCACAATTTTTTTTTTAAAACGCGATTTTAAATTAACCACCTTCGAGCCGCCGTAACGAGCGGAAATTGGCGTCGCCGTGGAAACGTATCCGACCGTTGACTCGCCAGCCAATCGAAATCAAACCTGGCCGGCCGCGGCGACCAATGAGGGCGCGGCGTCGCATATTTGAATCAGAGCCCGAGCGGCAACGAGAGACGATGAGATAGTCGCGACGTGGTCTTGCGTGGTGGTGGTAGCAACACGTCCTCGGCTTATGTTTTGTTGCTCAACGTAGACTTTGTTTGAAAGATCAGAATACTCGTGTGTGTTTTTTTTTAATATCGCAGCAGCAGCTTTGTTATCGTATTTATTTGCAGGTACATCAGTGAGCCAGCCTCCAAACATGGCTCTTCGTCGTGCTGCCGTGAGTACTCCGGTTCGATCGGAACCGCTGGGATGTTTTGTGGTGGTGGGGTAATGGCGACGATGTTTAATAATGCTAGTTCTTGGTGGCGTGAGCATTATTTGTGCTCGCGGAAAAGGGCCCATTGACCGACACCGCCGATTTATTGTTTCTAATTAAGGTTATTAACGGATGAGGATTTTGTTCTACTGTTCGGTTGTTGGCTATACTGTATTGATGGTAGTGGAGCGATGCGTGTTCCTGGACTGCTTTTATAAGCGATTTGAGTTTTTTTTGTTAAATTGGCTCCGTCGATTTAATAATACAAAAGCTTTGTCTTCGCGTCATCCCTGATGTAATGTGATTGCTGATGTAGGTGGGGTATGGAACATTTCGATTATCCAAATTTTGACCCATCGTAGACACGGCTGTAAGTCCTAGGGTGTTTCGGGCTAATTTAAATGTATTTTTTTAATGTAATGTCTCGCCAGTTTTTATAACTGGCGAAAAAACATGACGTGTTCATAAAGCTTGCGTTTGTCTTTTTTAGTTTCTCCGTAAAATACGTTTCCTATTGCACGTGCAGCTTTAATGATGGCTTAAAATTCAAAGGATGCCACTTGGTTTTTAAACAATAGGACCTCGGTGCTTGTGGGGTGTGGCGGTGTCCTCTGCACGAGGTCGCGCTGATTGCTGTTCGTGTCGTTCTAGGTAATTGCGGCCTTTTTATGATGCTAACCTAGAGGTGCATATTTCACGTCTTTTTTTTACGGAGACCAGCGTCGGGTTTTGTTGCACACGGGTAGAGCGATGTGAACAGAAGCGTTTGCGCGATGTCGTTGTAATGAACGCACGTATTCCGGTAGCAGAGCTCATTGAGCTTTATGCGTAACAGTCGTTGTAGGCTGCGGTACAACGTTGGGGCTAGTACCGCAACCGTCTAAAACAATTGAACATTTCATTGGCGACCCCGAATCGGCACGAGATCGCACATTCCCCTGCAGTGTAACCCAAAACGCATGCAGTGTAGTCCAGTATTTTCAGTGTCTGGGTTTGTATTGAAGGCATTCCCCTTTCTCCTAAATTGCAGGCTGTTGAAACCTCTGAGAATGCGTTGGCCGGCAGGCTGACGAGGAAGGGCAGCCTGCAGCTGAAGCCGACCGTGCGGGCAACACTCGGTGACATCAGCAGCAATACCAACAAGGCGATCGACAAAAAGCCGATGCAGGTCTACAACGCCCACATCCGCATGTGCACGCACCCTTTAGCCCATCCATGTGTTCGCGTGGGTGAAATTGAACTGTCAAAAGTAAGAGTGGTGTATGAAATTCTATTGGCGTGCTCTTTAAAAGCAGACCGGTGTAAGTTGGCTTTTTGAAGCGTCTGCATGGTTTACAGGGATCGCTTTTATGAATACCCCTCGGTGGATATTGGTTTATATTTATTTGAATGCAGTCTTGTACAAGTTATTTGAAACAACGTTTCGGATGCTTATTGTGGTGTTCATTTTGCGCAGATTAAGGAGCCAGTAGCCAAAAGGGTGCCGAGAATGGTCCGATCCAAGTCGACCGTGGTGAGGGTGCCGCTCGTTCCTGCTGCTGCGCCCATCGTGCCTGCTGCTCCTGTTGTGCCCGTGGTTACAGTTGCCGCTGTGGCATCTTGCAGGCCAGCAAGAATCCCGCTTGGAAAGGTGGGGTACCCACTTGATAATGCACAAGTATAGTGATGCTCTGATTCCTTTTTTTATAAAGGACATGGTTGCAATCGGCGATCTACCGAAATGATCCTTGGGATGTTTTGGTATCCTTAATGTTTACCATGTTTGCTTGGTGCTGATTTGGGATGACCAAATAATTTGGCCTATTTTAATAGTAGCACTCACTCCCACTTTCAAATGAATGTAGTGTGTGCAAGTGGCAACGTAATGACGATGAGCGGTCGCTTTTTCCAATAAAAAAATTCAAAAGTTAATTTGCACCGTTCGTCCATGTTTGCAATTATTTTTATCTACAATGCATTTTATTACTGACATTGCATGGTGCCAAATAGTTCAACCTATAGGTAAGTGTGTAATAATCGTCCACAACTCAAGTTTACTACTGCTAATTTTTTTAAAATTAACCTTAATTTTGGCTTCCTTTTGAAATAACATTGCTTTATTTGAAATGGTACTTTGCAGATGCCTTCGCCCATTGCTATGGACATCTCTCAAAAGGAGGAAGACCTCTGCCAAGCCTTCTCTGATGCACTCATAAATATCCAGGACATTGATGCGGCAGATGCGGCAAACCCCCAGCTGTGCAGTGAATATGTGAAGGACATCTATGTTTACATGAAGACCCTAGAGGTGATGATTTTGAGCTGAAGCAGTATATTGCAGACACATTAAAAATGACTTTTACAGGACAAGCAGGTGTTATTTTATACTAATGCATCGCATTTCTTTCCTTTTTAGAAAGAACAGTCGGTGCAAGCCAACTACCTGGAGGGAAAGAAGATAAATGGCCGCATGCGTTCCATCCTCGTTGACTGGCTTGTCCAGGTCCAAATGAAGTTTCGGCTGCTGCAGGAGACCCTGTACCTCACCGTTGCCATCATTGACCGCTACTTGCAGGTTGTGCCTTTCAGCCTTGTAAAGTAATTGCAAACTGCATATTGGTTTGTGTATATACATCCTGAAGTTGACGATTTGGTTGTGTACAGCATGGGCTTCGAATGTAGTTACGTTTTAAGGTATGGTATCCATGCTGCAATGTTAGTACACGACGGATCTGATACTGGAGTGGTGCAATTGGTTCTAATTTTAATGCCACGAGAAGTAAGCACGCAAATGGTGAGATTTTCTTACTCATCTCTTGAGTGTCAAATTACTACGTGTAGGTTAGTTCAAGTGAATGCCATAATGCTAGATTTTCATCCCTAGTCATCGATGAAGTTGACCACTGGCCTGTGACCTAATTTTTTAATTGCCAAACTGACACGTTCCTTGGTCTAATTTGGCTGTTAAATCCTTGTTTTGCAGAACCACGAAGTGCTGAGTGGAAGCCTGCAGCTGGTGGGTGTGACGGCAATGTTCATTGCAGCCAAGTACGAGGAGATGTACTCCCCAGAGATGGAGGACTTTGTTTACATCACAGACCATGCATACACAAAGGCTGAAATCCGTGCCATGGAGCAGGCTATACTTTTGGGGCTGCAGTTCAACCTTGGACGCCCCCTCCCACTACACTTTCTTCGTCGGGCATCCAAGGCTGGCAGCGTGAGTTTTTGCACTTTACCCTGTTTCATAGCATTTTAACAGGCTGTAATATTTTGCATAACGTTTGGATTTATTTTTGCCTTTAGGTTGATGCAGATAAACACACCTTGGCCAAGTACTTGATGGAGCTCAGCCTGGTGGACTACAACATGGTGCACTTCCATCCATCTCAGATTGCTGCTGCAGCCCTCTACCTTTCCCAGAAGCTCATGGATGATTCCAAATGGGTACGACTTTGTGGTTTTCATTGCAAAATGATATGACCCTTGTTCAACAATTATTTAATGTCTTTTGTACTTGTGTCTTTTCAGAACATGGATTTGCAGTACTACACGACCTACACTGAAGAAGAGCTAATGCCTGTTGTCCAGCATCTTGCTAAGAATGTAGTGAAGGTCAATGAGGGATTGACAAAGCAAATGGTACGTGATTGTTAATTGGCACAACTGTGTGCTTGTGGTGTTAATTAAATCTGTCACTTGGCAATGGGTTTGTTCATATTTGCAACATGTTAGTTGAGCATGTTACAGCTTTTGTAACATTTTCAGATGGGTTATTTATTAAACCCCAATTACAGCAATGGGGGGGGGGGGGTTGTGAGGAGTCATGACTGGCTTTATGAAAAATGGACAAACCCCTCTCAAATGTAGCCTATTAAAGTAGCTGTGCAATTGTCTTGGCATTATGAATTTCAATTCCAGCAGTAAAAGCTCCATTACATAACTAAAGCCTTTATCAGCACCCATTGCTATTATTTGGGTTGGCCAAGGGTACCTTAACATAAAGATTAAGGGTAGTGTTTTGTCCGTCTCTTTTAATGGTGAAACCCTCCATTTTTACCAGGCCACCAGAAACAAGTATGCCAGCACCAAGATGATGAGTATCAGCAAAATTTCTCAGCTCAAGTGCCAGCTGATGAAGGACCTGGCAAAGCCACATCTTGAGAAGAAGTAAAACAGCTTTATTCCAACGCCAATGTGCAGCAAAGACTTGGTGACTGCAAGGTTTCTTACATTGTGCTGGAAGTTAATAAGCCAGTTGACTTAATACCCTTGATTGATGTTGGAACGTTTTTTTTGTAATGAGACTTCACAGGATGGCTGCCGAGCCACTAAGGTGTACTGTTGAGCACCATGTGCTGCTGTGTGTGTATATATAGCCTGGCATCTAGAATACATTTTTATTTCCATTTTTATTTCACCTATTTTACACTCTGTACTTTTACTAATTTTTATTGATTTGACTTTAATAAAATGACTTCTCTTCTACACAATTCTCTCCATTTTAAACTAAATTTAATGGCAAAATGTTTTCTTAATAGCTTGGAACTGCCTGTTACCTGACTGGCCACATCAATCGTTTGGTTCTTTGACTAATTCGTGCCACGTTGCGGTTAAATGAGCACATTTGAACTTAAATCTGAGCAGCCTGGCACTTCAACCTTAAGCTTTTGCCCAATACAATAGCTTTAATGCATAGACCGTTCGGTATTGGACTTAATATAAGCAAAGTGCCAGGTAACGTTAGCCTGGTCCTAGAAAATGTGGTAATGGTGTGAAAATGTTTAATAGGATTTACAAAGATGTGTGCAAAAGTGTTTTAATGCTCGATTACTACTTTGGTTAGCATGCAATTTGCAACCATCTTTTGTTATGCTTTATGGTAATGTATACATTAAGATAATTTAATTGACTGGCCTTAACAATAAACTTACGACATGCTGTAAACCCAAGTCCCACATGCTTTGTTCCTGATCAGCCATCTTTGCTGTACATTTGCTATTGGTTGTTAATATGGCTTCTACATGCAGGGAAGTATACTTGGCTAAGTGAATTGATGCCTCAACCCATGTTGACTTGCATAATTAAGGTGAGGGTATGCAAGTGATTGGGTTGACAACGTTTGTTTGAATCTGACTTGGCCTCCCTAATTCAGCAGATATAGCAGTTTGTCAAAGGTGAGCTTTTCATTAACTTGAACTGAATATACACATTAATCAGAAAAGCAGCATAGCTGTCTAATTTAGGTGGCTTGGATGTCTCCCAGTTTCAAGGTGGGATGCAATTGTGCGAGTTTTCTATTTTAACGTCTCTAAGCTTGGTTTTCAAATGGTGTTCCAATTTTATAATAAAGTGTAAATTGGCTGACTTGGACTCGCTTGAATGGAATGACCAAAGTGCCTTAATTCTGTCTGAACTTTTGACTCGCTTGCCATTCAACTTTTACCCAATACTGCTGGTTGGCTGACATTTTAGAATTAATCCCCATATACCTACATTTGATTTAACACTAACGTGTCATTACCGTTAGCTATGGATGGGCTTTTCCACATCAAATTAGTAGAAGGTAATATGATTGTTTTTAACCTTTATCTGGCATCAAAACTGACCTTTTTACAAGGTCGTGTTTGCATTGACCACTACCTGCGGTCGCAATGCAAACAAAATACAACTCAATGTATGCGCTGCCCTTAATCGATTGGTCCACACCTGAGACGGCTTTCCTTGGCCTAGTCTCACATGGTGTTGGACCAGATGATGCCAAAAGGCGGTGTCTAGTCCAACATGTGAGACGACTAGGCTCGAAGGAAAGCTCTCTTGGGTGTGGACCAATCAATTTCAAGGACGGTGCATACATCAGAGTTGTATTTTGTTTGCATTCCGACCGCAGATATTGTGGTCAATGAAAACATGACTCCTTGTAAAAAAAGTGTCGTGTTTTGTTGCCAGAAAAGGGTGAAAACCAATTATATTTTGCTACTGGCAAAGGGGGTTCCAATGAAGTACAGGGTAAGTTTAACGTGGCAAATATTTGCGTCCATTAATAAATATTTGAAACGCCATTGGCCCAGCTATCTTTTGAGGTAGCTAACATTCTGCTGTACATGTTTCTTGTTAAACAATTTTGGAACGCCGTCACTTGCTGACATGAAAAGTTTTTCCATGACCATATTTTCAGTGCTATATGTATTGACCACGAATAGCAAAATGTACAGAATTGACGACTTTTCCAAAACCGACCTGTGGTATGGCGATATAGCGCGCTCAACCAAATTTGGTGTGGCAGTGCTGTCTATTTAAAATTGTTCATGAATACGATGGGCGAGTTCTTTAGTGATGGTCAATGTATTGTGTACACGGGCACGCTTAGACGGCATCAAACGAAGTGCAATTTTTGTTTAGGTTTTACTACGTTATAGCACCGCTAATATTAACCGTGATGGTTCAGTATCCCCAATTGTCTACAGAACAGTTTTTTTACAAGCGTAGTTGTACATAAATGACAATTATACGTAAAAAATACGACATGCTGTATTCTGAGCATGGTTTATTGCAAATATATGCAACGATATTGGATTTCATTTCGGTTCTCTTCAAATTAAGTGAGCTCGTTGAAATAGGTGGTACAGGTGTGCAAGCAAAAATTCCCGTGAGAATTCACGATGCATGGACACTACAATATGGGCACAAATGAGCAAGAACAGGTGTATAAAATACACTGTTTTACCAGGTAAAGCTCACAGATGTAAAGCTTTTTTTATAGAAGCGACCTGGCCACAAATCAACGAAGTGGCTTGTGGACATGGCAGCCAAATGGTCTTAAACGCATGTTGATTCTAAATGTGAAGGGAAAAACCGGAGGACCCGGAGGAAACATCCAACCGATCACAGGGAGAGGGAGACGCAGACCCCAAATATACAACAGGGTCGGCATCGAACACATGCTACCAGGCGGGGTAGTTAACGTCTCTTAACAGTGGCGCCCCAAACATGGATAAAAAAATTAACGCAATTTACGTACTCTTAAACTACATGTTAAAGATAATACACCTATAGTAAAGTGCAATTGGCATTATAAAATATAATCCAAAGTGAATATTAAGTTTGTGTAAACCCATGGGAAATTACTTTACTCGAAAATGTGTTTGTGGATTCTGTACGCCATAATGTTCGACGTTTCACTCCCACGTGCTGGGAGCAACATTTGTTTATCAACAATTCCCAACCAATGCTTCACTTTGCATACTGCGATTAACACGACACTCCATAATGTTCGACGTTTCACTCCCACGTGCTGGGAGCAACATTTGTTTATCAACAATTCCCAACCAATGCTTCACTTTGCATACTGTGATTAACACGAGGATAAAAACCCCACCCATGTCTATTAATGAGATACTGTTAGGGAAATACATTCACAGGTAAGGAGACCTGCCTGATTAAGGATGTGGACCTGGTTGGTGGAGGGAAGGATTTGAAAGTAATGGTAGGGTGGGGTACGTGGGGAGCGGTCGTGTCATGGTAAGCAAACTCCACTTCGAACCCGGCAACCCGAGTTCGATTCGCGCACACGGCTAACATCGTTGAATATCTGAACCACTTCTGGGCCTCCCCTAGGTTGACTCATCCTTAAATAAGAACACCGTGCGATGTGCGTAATCGGCCATAGAGAAAGGTGGCCTGGTAGTGCTGGCTCCCCACCTCGTGTGCCGTGATTGCCTTAAGGTTGCTCGCTAACAGCACTTGCCCCAACAATCTGTTAAGGCTATAGGGGGAATCTTTGTTTCGTGTATACATACCTGTCGCCCCCTTATCAGTGCCTACCTCATTACAGACCAATTTATACCTTATTGGTCACCCGTGCCCTTGTACATCTCAATGTTCATCCTACAGCCCTATCACAAGGGGAAACACAAACTAGCTGTGCTTTACTCCATTTCGCTGTACAGGAATACGGGTGAACCGTATGGTTTGACAGGTATGTGTATCGTTGTAGAGCATGTGCAGTGGGGGCCATGATTCGATGTGGGGAGGCAACAGGATGGGTAACAAGCGAGCGAAGTGTGGTGGGTGGGAAATCATGGCGGTGGGTGGAAACACCGCACGTTTGTTGGACCCGTGGTTGACGGAACGGGGGCTGGGTGGTGGGGTTGATTTGTGGGTGGGACCCGGGTGGGACGATGGAATAGGACTGGTTGGTGGGAGAGACTCCAGAATGGATGCTTGGAGGGTGATGAACCAGCATGTTTTGGGTGGGTCCTGGGATGGGTGACAGCTGAGGGCGGTGCGTGGGAACACGAGGCTTTTGGAGGTGGTGTGGGACGATCGGAGGTATGGTTTTAGGATTCATATACAGTACAGGGTGGGTGGGACCAGGGGTGGGGCCTAGTGTGGGTTTGTAGCTCGAGGGTTCATTTGGTGCGTTGGTGGGTTGGTGAGATCCGGAGGGAACTGGTCCTTGGCTTTAGTGGGTGGGCGGTGAATGGGTGGGACTTGGGGTTGGTCATGGGTGGGAGGGTACCTCGGTTTCCTTAATGGCAGAGACTCTTCATGTTGAAGTGGAAAGGGACCCCGGTTTGGTAGACTAGTGTGATCACATAGTAGGGGGAAGGGGGTGGTGGTGCGACCTGGTTTGGGCCTGTGGGATTCGGGATGGGTGAGTGGGACCTTTGTTGGAGGTTGGAGGGACCCAGTGGTGGCTTTGGTTATAGTGGGCGGGGTAGGCGAGGGAGGGACCCTGCAAACGGTGGGCGGGACCCTGCGAACGGTGGGCGGGACCCCCCTCGTCATTTAACGGGGGGGAGGGGACTATCGGGTTTGGTGGGTGGCAACTCCGGGGTCGGTGGGTGGGGGTAGACCTTGGGTTTTGGGGGGGGGGTCCACACTCAGCGTCGTTGGGGCAGCGGAGATTGGTGGAATTGATCATGTGACCGGTAGTGGGTGGGGTAAGGGGGCGGGGCTTGGTCGTTACTGGGAGGAGACTACCGGGTAGGTGGGCGGGCGTTCCCCTCCCCCTCCGTTCCGCCGGGCGAACAAGGAGACGCCTCGACCCTCCACACACAACCACCGCGCACGCATCGCGCACGCACGGAACGGCGCTCTCGCTCGCACGGGTAGAGAGCGGCGTCAATTCTCGCTAGCACGGCCATTGATCGTGGCTCGAGTGTGAGAGAGAGAGAGTTCCGACGGTGTTGGTTCAAAACAAAAAAAGGGGCGCGATGATGAGTAGGCTCGTGGTCGCGTCGAAATCGGGAGTTTGATGGATCGTCGTCATAGGCAGTGGCGAGAGAGGGAGGAGACACGCTCGCTTCGTGTTGAGTAAAGGAGACGGGAAACGCGAATTCTACCCCACCCTCGACAACAACGGCGGCGACCAACGCAGAGCGGCGAGTCGACGCGAATCAGCTTCTTTCGCGGCAGCGCACAGGGGCCGCTCTGTGCGGACGGCTGTAGCCACGGTCCTTTATTTAGACAAACCACAAGAGCGACGAGTGCCGAGGCGGAGCTCGCTGCGCTGAGAAGAGACTTCTCTCAGAGCCCCAGCTCCATTTGCAAGGAGGGGAGCGCCGCGGCGGTGGGTTCCTGCCTTCCTCTCTCTCTCTCTCTGGGGCTTCTAAACCCTCCTCCCCCCCACCACCGCCGCCGCTCCTCGGCCTTGTTGTTTGCGATGTTGCGTTGCGATCGTGGAATGGCCGCGCGCTCGTGTGTGTGTGTGGGGGTTTTTTTTGTTGTTGTTCAGGCCGTGTGTGTGGTGTGGTGTTAGGCCGAAACGGGGCGAAGGTTTTTAGTGTGCGTGTGTGGCCGGGAGACCTTTTGTGACTTCGTGACGCCCAAAGGCCTTCCTCCATTCCGGCCTCCCTCTTCGCCCACAACCCCTTCGCATTACTCAATAGCAGAGCGGGCGGGCAGCAGGCGACGTCACGTCGTTCGTCGGGTTTGCTGTCTCTTTTTTTATTTGTCGTAACTTGCTTTTTTCTTCCTACGTTTAGGCACCAAGGTAACACACACACACACGCGCGCGCGCAAAAATACCCAACAACAATAACGTATCGGGAATTTGTTAAGTCCCCTTTAACCAGAAATACGTCGCTGTGTGTGTGTGCGTGTTGAATCGCAGATGTGCGAGTGTAATAATATTCGCGGTCGGCCTGCGAAGGGATTGTCACGAGACACGTAGGGTATTTTTTTTGGTGTTATAGTCTCGTCTCGTTTACGTTTTGGGTTTTATTTTCGAAGTGAAACTGTTTTTGTTTTATGGGGGTGGTGGCGGGGTCGGGGGTGATCTTTGATGGAGAGGGCTTTCGAAGGCTACTCAGCTTGCCTGGTATTATTGCGTGTCGTGTGTGTATGACTGGTGTGTCGATAGT